CCATCCCTTGACTTTTAGTCTGTGCATGTCTTTGGGTTTGAGGTGAGTTTCTTGTAAGCATCATATAGATGGGTCTTGCTTTTTTATCCATTCTATTACTCTGTTTCTTTTGATTGGTGCATTCAGTTCATTTACATTTAGGGTGACTATTGAAAGATATGTACTTATTGCCATTGCAGGCTTTAAATTCGTGGTTACCAAAGGTTCAGGGTTATTCTTGTTAATATCTTACTGCCTAACTTAGCTTGCTTATTGAGCTGTTATATACACTGTCTGGAGATTCTTTTCTTCTCTCCCTTCTTATTCCTCCTCCTTCATTGTTCATATGTTGGGTGTTTTGTTCTGTGCTCTTTCTAGGAGTGTTCCCATCTAGAGCAGTCCCTGTAAGATGCCCTGTAGAGATGGTGTGTGGGAAGCAAATTCCCTCAGCTTTTGCTTGTCTGAGAATTGTTTAATCCCACCATCATATTTAAATGATAGTCGTGCTAGATACTGTATCCTTGGTTCAAGGCCCTTCTGTTTCATTGCAGTAAATATATAATGCCATACTCTTCTGACCTGTAGGGTTTCTGTCGAGAAGTCTGTTGTTAGCCTGATGGGTTTTCCTTTATAGGTGACCTTTTTCTCTCTAGCTGCCTTTAAAACTCTTTCCTTGTCCTTGATCTTTGCCATTTTAATTATTATGTGTCTTGGTGTCCTCCTTGGATCCTTTCTGTTGGGGGTTCTGGTTTTTCCGTGGTCTGTTTGATTATTTCCTCCCCCAGTTTGGGGAAGTTTTAGCAATTATTTCTTCCAAGATAGTTTCCATCCCTTTTCCTCTCTCTTCTTCTTCTGGTACCCCTATATTACGGATATTGTTCCTTTTGGATTGGTCACACAGTTCTCTTAATATTGTTTCTCTCCTGGAGATCCTTTTATCTCTCTCTATGTCAGCTTCCATGCATTCCTGTTCTCTGATTTCAATTCCATCAATGGCCTCTTGCATCTTATCCATTCTGCTTATAAATCCTTCCAGAGTTTGTTTCATTTCTGTAATCTCCTTTCTGGCATCTGTGATCTCCCTCTGGACTTCATCCCATTTCTCTTGCGTATTTGTCTGCATCTCTGTCAGCATGTTTATGCTTTTTTTTTTAATTCTTTGTCAGGAAGACTGGTTAGGTCTGCTCCTTCTCTGGTGTCTCTGTGATCTTGATTTGCCTGTAATTTTGTCTTTTCATGGTGATAGGAATAGTTTGCAGAACTGTGACTAGTGACAGCTGGAAGAACTTCCCTTCTTGTTGGTTTGTGGCCTTCCTCTCCTGGGAGAATAGCAACCTCTAGTGGCTTGTGCTGGGTAGCTGTACACAGACAGGGCTTCTCCTTCCTGCCTGGCTCTTCTGGAGTTTATCTCCGCTGTTGCAGTGGGCGTGACCTGGCTTAGTCTGCTGCTTCAAAGTGGTGGAGTTGCGTTGGAGCGGGAGCAGCCAGGAGGCTATTTATCTCCGTAAGGGGCCTCCGTGCTCCCTGCACCCCAGGGGATTAGAGTGCCCAGAGATCCCTGGGTTCCCTATCTCTGGGGGGAAGTGTCCCGCCCTGCCCCTCTAAGACTTCCAAAAGGCACCTGCCAAAACAAATCAATGACCGCAAAGAAAAAAAAAAAATGGCCGCTTGTTTTCCTTTATTCTCCAGCGCCAGCCTCCGGCACCCGCTCACCGGTCTTGCTGCCTTGTTTCCCTAGTTTTGGGCTCCCTATCCTTTAAGACTTCCAAAAAGTGCTCACCACAACAAAACAACAAAACAGCAACAACAACAACAAAAAAAATGGCCGCTCCCTTTTCTTTTGTTCTCCGGCACCAGCCTCCAATAACCGCTTGCTGGTCCTGCTGCCCTGTTTCCCTAGTATTGGGTTCCCTGTCCCTTTAAGATTTCCAAAAAGCACTCGCCACAACAAAACAACAACAACAACAACAACAAAAAAGGTGGTTGGTCGCGTTTCTTTTGTCCTCCGGTGCCGGCCTCCGATACCCGCTTGCCGGTCTTGTTGCCCTGTTTCCCTAGTATTGGGGTCCCTGTCCCTTTAAGACTTCCAAAAAGCACTCACCACACCAAAACAACAACAACAAAAAAATAAGGTGGCCTCTCGTTTTTCTTTTGTCCTCCGGTGCTACCCTCCGGTACCCAGTCACTGTTCTTGCCACCCTGTTTCCCTAGTAACCAGGGCCCCGTGCATGCACCGTGTCTGCGCTCTGATCTGGATGGCTGGGGCTGGGTGTTCAGCAGTCCTGGGCTCCCTCCCTGCTGACTCCTCTCCTCCTGCCAGGAGCTGGGGGTAGGAGCGCTCAGGACCTGCCGGGCTGGGGCTTGTATCTTACCCCCTTTGCGAGGCACTGGGTTCTCGCAGGTGTTGATGTGGTCTGGATGTTGTCCTGTGTCCTCTGGTCTCTATTTTAGGAAGAGTTGTCTTTGTTATATTTTCATAGATATATGTGGTTTTGGGAGGAGATTTCCACTGCTCTACTCACGTCGCCATCTTGGCTCCAAGATTTCTAAGTTTTGAGCTGTGGAAGGAATCCTATTTTTCCCCAGAACCTTAATTCATTGAAAAGAGAGGAGCAAGAAACTTCTAGACCCCCAAGCCAATTTTTGATATTAAAAGTCTTATATTTTATTTCATTTTTCAGAGATTTACATGGTGTTCAGAACTGTACACTAATGAGTCAAATTTTTCAGCATATATTTAGCCTAGTATACATACTGTGTGACATTTCTGTTTTATTAGAGAATTTGCAAACTTTTTTTATGTTTGCATGTTGAAGGTGATATGTTTTTGTCTGACTTGAAGTTTATCTGTTATAGCAGTTTGTATGTAATAAACAATGATTTTTTTTTACAAATTTTTTGGAAGTGAAGGTAGGCAAACTACTTCTTTTCTAGTGTATTTTGGTGATTCTGTGAGGGACAGAAATAAAGTGTTACTTTTGAGATACTGCTTTGTAGAAAAAAGGAACTAGTTTGTTTTACTACATATCCTAGGATCTTTTCTCTTCAGGAATTACAGTTTGAATAAAAAACCTCAAAACCCAAGCTTTTTTAAAAAAACACATTGTTTTAGAATTTAACTTGAAGTTTATCTTTTTGTTTTTCTTAGTTTCAGTATAACTGTGATAACATAGTGAGAATTTTTGCCTCATCTCATAATATGAGCCCAAAGGTACCATTAAATACTTGTTGATAGGCTGATTCTAGGGCTGGGGCAGAGAAAATACAAGATAGGCCTGGAGTATCTTGGAGAAACAGAAGGTAAGGAAACGCTCAAAAAAACAAAAAGATGAGAGCATGTCAAAAAGTTACAAGAGCCAACTGAAAGAGCTTATAGTGATCAATGCTGAAACAATTTGAGCAACAAAATAATGATGTAGTATTGGATTGTAACCCAAAGTATACAATAAATATCCATGAGTCCATACTGATATAAGCAAGTGATTGATAAATGTGTAAATGGAAGAAGATAGACAAATCTTCCATGCAGATGATTTGCAAATAATACATATGAATGTTCTCTACTGTGTAGAGTATAATCCCTCTTCTCCCTCCTCAAGAGTGAGCTTGACTTAATCACTTCTAAGGAATAGGGAATATGGAAAGGGAAAAATAGTAACTTTATAATGGAGAAGTCTGGTAAACACTCCCTTAACCACCTGATAAAGGTTAACATCCCCAGTGATGCCCTGCGGATATAATGTTCCCCTTGATATAATGTGATGAGAAGGGCAGTTCACCTCTGTGGTGTTCTTTATAAATCTCATCTAATTATTTTCTCAACTTTAGTCTACCTCTAAATTCTAGTCTGATCACAAAAAGAAACATCAGACAAACCTAAACTGAGGGTCATTGTACAGGATACCTGCCCAGTACTCCTCAAAACATTAAAGATCATGGAAGAGAAGCAAAGATTGAAACTGTCACAGAGCAGAGCAGAGTGGGGAAACATGGCCACTGTGGACAATGTGGTATCCTGGATAGAATCCTGGAACAGAAAAGGGGCATTAATGGAAAAGCTGTTAAATAATAACTAACTTAGTTAATAGTAATTTTCCAACTTGGTTTCTTCATTTTTGACAAATGTCAAACATAGGATGTTGATGACAAGGGAAACTGGGTATAGGGTATACACACACTCTCTCTACTGTCTTTCAACTTTTCTGTAAATCTGAAATGATTCTAAAATAAAAGGTTTATTTAAAAACCTTGTTGACAAACTTTTTTAAATGGAATCAAATGGTGTGAAAAATAAAAGCTGCTTTGTGTTAGCTAACTTTCTCTAGTTAGCATGTTTTAATATTGTTACTTTTCTCTTAAAAAGGATATATAATCTATATTACCTCTATTTAGATTCGTAAATTCCTTTATTTATAAATAGTTTCTTTTATATATAAGATTTGGTGACCTTTTACAAGTCATATTAATATCTAAAACTTTTAAAACTATAGAAAGAGGTTAATAAGTTAAAAATTAATAGCTCTATATTTTGAAGGGAAGAAACTAATAATTTACCATAAGGGTTCATAGAATCTGAATTGTGATTGTTTTGAGAATTGTGATTTTGAAAGTGCTTATGTTATGTTGATATTATACTTCATCATAATAAAGCACCATGGGAACTTGAAAATTTAATAGCATTGTTAGTTAAAACAATACATAAAAAGTAATCCAATAGAATAAAAGTATTTAAAATAACATAAAGTATAATCTTTGTTACTAACTCTGAAAATGAGCATAACTGAATTTCATATCATTTCTTTTCTAGATTTATTATCTAGGATAGATTTGGATGAACTAATGAAAAAAGATGAACCACCTCTTGATTTTCCTGATACCCTGGAAGGATTTGAATATGCTTTTAATGAAAGTAAGTGGTGTATGCTATATACAAGATTTATTTAACAATGCTAAGTGAACTCTAGGAAAGATACTTGCTGCTTTTATTTTTCAGCTAGCATATTCTATGTATTTCTTGTGAGTTCGTGGTAAAGTTCTTCACTCAAGTAAAAGAACCAAATTATCATTTCCTATAGTTGTCAAGTCACTTAAACCAATGGACATGAATTTTATTTGGCTTATGTATTTCGGCCCTTAGTGTTCAGCTCTCTAGTTTTCAATTGGTATACAGTTCCATAGTATACAATTAAATTGTATAGAACAGTGCTACTGTTTCACATGTTATTTAAAATGAAATGACTGGCAATAATTGTTTGTGATGATATTTTAAAGTATAATACTCAATTTTCCATGATATTTTTAGACAATATCCTTATTTTAAAATTTATTATTTAAATTCTGAATAAAATAAACTTTGCACTTGGAATTATGAAGACCATACCGTCGATTGTAAGGATGTTTCTGGAACAAAGAATTATGATTCATTGGATTAATAACACTTATATTTGAAGGGTAATGTTACTATAGGTTAGGTAACATTTGAATTGTAGCTTTCTATTTATAGTTGCTCTGCATCAACTGAATTTGTGAGTTTTTATCCTTGTGTTAGTGGGTATCCATTTACAATATCAGTTATAGGTGGTTGGACTTACAGTGACTGTATACTGGTGTATTAAGTGAGTTTAAACAGAAGATATTGGAAACTTTCATCTTTTTTTCTGATACTAACTTTCATGCTTTTTATAAAAGATATCTTATGCCAAAATATTTATGAATAGTAATATTTTATTTTTTTAAATGTCTTTATATTTTAATAACCAGAATCAAATGAGTACCAAGATTACCCTTGCCTTTGTTCCTTTGAAATGATTACTGGATCCTTCTTTCAGAACAGGGATTGGGGGCAGAGCATGTTGGTAGAATGGGCAAATCACAGAACTGTTTGCTTTATGGATAAAGGACATCAATTTTTATTGAACCTATCCATCTTCCTTGAACATTTCTGAAAGTGAGTAAAAACATAAAACAAATCCACTTCTTTCTCTCCTTTTCTTATCAGATACATTTGCACACACACGTCTTTGCACACATCTGTACATTCTTGCATACACATACCCTTCACTCACACACTTTGTGCACACCTACACCTTTGCACACACATGTGCCCTTTCAAATACACATTGAATGCACACGTACCCTTGGAAACACCTGCCATTTGTTTTGTAAATATGCTGAATGTTATTTTGCACAAATACAGACTAACTGTATAAGGCAAAGATGCTTGTATTCCAAGGAAAGAATGTCAGTTTTAAGGATCTTATTTTTAGCATGACACAGTTCACCTTTGAATTCAGAGTTAATAGGGAACATTTTTTCCAGAGAGGTAAGCATTTGAGAACAGGAAACTCATCTCAAAATTAAACAGTAGACTCATGGACAGAAGAGACTAGTGGTTACCATGGGCGGAGTGTTGGGGTGGGTGAGTAGGTGGGGAGGGTGAGAAGGAAAAGGGACACAAAAGTTCTCTATCATAATTTAAGTTAGTCACAGGAATAGTAGTAACAGCATGGAGAGTATAGTTAGTGTTTCTGTAACATCTTTCTGTGTTGACACACAGTAACCTCACTAGAGGGGGTGAGGAGTTAATAATATGGGTAACTGTTGAACCACTGTGTTGTATATTTGAAACCAATATAAAATTGTATATCAATGATACCTCAGTAAAAATGTAAAATCAATAAAGATTAAACCCCTAAAAGGGCAATTCTAACTTAGTATCCTAGAGTACTTCATTTTCAGGTTTATAATGAGAAAACTTACAAAAGTTTTGAAATGAAACTTTCATTACCTGATTGAAGAAGCTTCTAAATTTTTCTAAGGATTTTGAAGTTTTTAGTTGTGGGTAAGAACTTGGATACAAAGTTCACTCTAAGCAAAAAAAAATATGTAACAGAGGAAGAGATCCTTTTTACTAGCATCAAACTGATACCTTGTTCTTTCAAATCACTGGCTTTTCAAATACTCCTTCTGTTTAAAATGTCCATTCAGCCATTCTCCAGTTGTAATTGTATAAGGCCCATTTCAAATGTCCTTGCTTTGGAAGATGAAGAGGGTGAGGGCTTTTCTCTGTTACCTTCCCCCACAGTCCCTGTGCCTGGTGCAGTTTTATGAGAAAGCACACTTGTATCACCAAAGCATAATAGATCTTCTGCAATACCTGATATTCTTACCACATGCCAGAAAGTGTCCTATGCTTTTAGCTTATTCATTCATTTAGGCCACTGATAGCCTATTTTGGGTCCTAGACTCCACAATGTGTCTGATAAAATATATGGAAACACTTCCCAGAATAACACACATCTGAGTATACACATGAAACTTTACAGTCAGTTTTAGGGGATCCTAGGCTAAAGTGTTCTAAACCAGACCTTTGACAATTACTGGAGAGGTTTTCCAAACCTTTGAGAAATGCCAGATTTGCAAATACAGCTGTAACATAAGTGACTAAGGTATCTTTTCTGGATAAGAATGCTGGCTTTTTTCCCTCTTCACCTTTACACTCTTCACACTGGTGCTAATGGCTATGTTGACAGGGCTCATTTTTCCTAAGGAATCAAACTTTTATCACTTTATGAGAATTATTATATCCAAAATAAGTAGAGAATTAAAACAGAGCAAACCTTTTTTTGAGGTACAGATACAAGTGGTCTGTTAAACTCACTAGCTAGGTAAGCCAGTTCTCTTTCACACAGCAGTTTCACAGAAAATACATTTCCAATTTCAGCTGTGGTGGTATTACTCGTTACTTCATGTCATGTGCCTTTAGGTTACTTTAGTCACAATTGTTTAGATTTGCAGATGCCTTCAGTCTACTTGTATTGGTATCTTAAATGAGAGTTTCCTTCTCTTAGAAAGAAAAGCATAGATACATCTTATAATTTAAGGGCATCATCTGTCCAAAAAAGAGTGCTATAGTGACTTAGTACAGTGTCTCATGTTCAAAGTATTAAATAAGTTTACAAATAAAGATTAGTCCTTATTTTATATATTAAAAATATTCATTTTATAGGTGATAAAATTGGTTCATAAAAACAGTGGAGTAGTTTTACTTGGAGAAGTGTATTTCCTGGGTTCAGTTTCAGTGCCATAACTTCTCTTTCAAGTCTTTCTCCACTCCTGCATGCCCTCAGTGGATAAAAATCACATAGTAAATCTGTTTAGCTTGATCGTGTTCCTCTTCTTCCCCTAAACCTTTTCTTGTACGTCACTGCATTTAGGAGAAAGTCCAAACCCAGTAGTTTGAGTCCTCTACTATTTGATCACAACATGTCCTCCAGTGTTGTTAAACTGTTTGGCTCAAGACTATTTTTGTTTCTGTAAAATGGGTTGTTCACTTTTATTTGAACTTTCTATTCCATCTTTCACAATTTTGTTATAGCGCTGGATGGGAGTAGGGATTAAAACAGCTGGCCTATTTCTCTCCTGATTACTGGGGGAATATTCCTGGGGAAAGAAAAAAGACAGGTGGCCTGGTCTTTTCTTCTTGTAAACATGCTGATAAAATAATCTTTTAGTGAAAACTCTGAGAGTCCTTATCCATGGAACACTTTGAGCTGTATGATTGGTTTGGCATTGCTTATGGTAAAAAAGAAAACCTCTATAATCTGTGGATATGTGATGGATGTTTCCCTGAAGAATATCATATAAGCAGTGCCATTCCCTGGCACATACATAAACAAAACGCTTGTCAAGATGTGTGGCAACCTATCTGCCTCACTTAGAGACCTCACCTCTTCTGGACCAGGCTACCGATCAATCGGAGAGAAGGATCTGTGCCTCTTGATTGCTTGTACTTTTGAAATTATTAGAAGTTATTCATTATTAGTAAAATTTCTGAATTGATCATATCTGACTTTACAGTCCAAACCTGTGTTGGCTCATTTCCTCTTCAATTTACATTTCAAATCCTACCCATATTTCAAGGCCTACTTGAGAACTCTCTGAAACCTTCTGAAACTATTCTTGGCCTAAAGGAATAGTTCATTTTCCAAACATATAGACTATCTTGTCTACATGAATTGCCTATGGCAATTTTTAGATGGGTGACTTACTTCATTCTTGTTAAACTTCCTGAAAAGTTGCTTAACTTTTTGATATATATACTTTTACTCCTCAGGTAGCTTTTAAGCTTAAGAACCGGGCCTGTGGTCATGGCTGTAGCTAGTAAAGATCCTTATGCATTATAGGCCCTCAAATTTTATTAATTTGCTTTATATTAGAGAAATGAAGATAAAAAAGCATAGCATTTGAGTACTTGAGGCCATTCTTTTATACTATTTAGATGTTTGCATCACATTGGTATTTGAAGAAAAAAATATAATGAAAATAATGATACTTTTGAGAAAGTTATTTCAAACTTTTATCAGGCATTATTTGTTGTACTTTCCATGTTAATATAAATGTACTCTGAATCATAGCATTATTGTTTGTTTATCTTGTAGAAGGGCAGTTAAGACACATAAAAACTGGGGAACCGTTTGTTTTTAACTACCGGGAAGACTTGCACAGATGGAACCAGAAAAGATACGAAGCTCTAGGAGAGGTATGGTCATTTATACAACTTCAACCTTGTTTTTTCCAATGTTAAATAGTCAGAATAAAGGTTTTGAAGATGAAGCAGCTCAAGCAGTTTTTAAGGAAACATATCCTTTCTAAGATTTTATAGTATATCATTGTATCAGAAACAAATTTAATTTAATTTTTTAAAACGTTTTTAAGAGGTTGAATCCTTGCTGCTATGCCAGGAGAATTAAGTGTTATTTTAAGTGCTTATCTAAAAAAAAGATTACCTATGTTAACTATGTGAGGTGATAGTAGTATTAATTATCTTGATCTTGGTAATCATTTTACAATTTATATTTATAGCAAATCACCACATACACTTCAAATATATACAATTACATGTCAATTATTCCTCAAAAAAGTTAAATGAAAGTGCTTATCCAAATGAAGAAGATTGATATTTGGCTAATAAATTAGATCTAACTGTTTATCTTTGACTTGATTAAGGGTTAAGTCTATTAGTGTCCTCACATGATACCTCTGGTAGGAACCTTTCAAAATGTCATTTTTCATACAGGTGAATGTTTTGTTAAAGCCAAAGTTTGCTCATTCTGTGTCATATTAAGTATTTTTAATAAAATGCATATGGACAGTTTGTTTTGTGTGATAACTAGACAACTAAATCTGTAAGGAAAAGCTGAAATTTCTACATTCCCTTTTGGCTCTCTAATAAAGTAGTCAAAATTAATTACTTGGTTAAACAGTAGCATAAAGAAAATATGAAACTTAGTTTTGCTTAGTTTATGGGAGACAGTTCTCCAAGGATCTCTTGCATTTCTGCAAGTTTTTGATCATAGGCACTGACAGCTTTTGTTCTGGACTATCTTTTTGAGAATACTTGGATGAGAAACAACCTGGAAGGATAGAGATTATGTCTTCCACCAAATGCCAGGACAGAGTTGTTTGCTGTCCAAGGTACTGAAAACACTCCTCCCTTCTCCCACTGATGGCAAAGAATGGACAGGTTTCCTAGCAGCCCTGTATTCATTTAGCTTTTTAAGTTTGAGGTTCCTGAGGTGTGATATAGTCCCACTGTGTGCTCAGCCACTACCCTTGGCCTCCACACATTGGGTCTCTGAGTTTTGAGAGGCAGGAGTAACAGATGAAAACATGAGGCTCATGTTTTCCTGAGTAATAAGGTCTTTTGTCTGACCTATGAGAAGAGTGTCTTCTGGTAGCATCCAGGGAACTGTAGCAGGCTACCAGTTGGCTTGTAAACAGAGTGAACTGTCGGGTCGTTCACAGTTCTTGATGTTATTCTCCAGCATTTATAACTTAAGTATATTTAATTCCCTGAATAAATTCTGCACATTTTTAAAAGTGTGCCCATTTCCACTTGAATTAATTGCATGCTGCAAACAGGTAATATTTTGATTATAGAATATTCACTTGGACAGGTGCCATTCTCTAAACATACCTTGTCCTTTCTGGTATTTGCATCTTTTTTCACTTTCAGCCTGTACGCTCCAAAGTCATCATAACAAAACCTAACTAGTGTCTTGATAATCCTATGTGTAAGTGATTCCTTTCTCTTAGGATATTCTACCTAATTCTTTGAACATAGAGAGGGTCACAGATTATTTTTGGTAGACCTTACTCCATGATAGTCAAAATATTTTGAGTCTTACTTTAATGATTACACATGGAGAGAGAAAATATTCTACATTGTCTAGATTCCCAACTCCTGTGCCTGCATTCACATTTGTGTCCATGATCAAGTTGGCCTCAAGTGACAGGTTTTAACTTGTAATGCAGTATTTCTCAATTTAGATTAGTGGGCCCTGAGCTTCAAGTAACAATCCCTTTTATTCTGTAAAATACTGATCAAAAGTAAACATTACTTTCTAGCATAAAACTCAGTACAACAGACGCAAGGGTTGGAGAAAGAAAGTCTAGTTATGATAGCATTTGTTCTGTACCATCTTGCTTCTCATGACTTACTTGAACTACTTGTTTTCAGGGCTTACTTCACTGTGTAAGGGTGGTTATTAGTAAAATTTCATTTCTTACATCTTAGGAGAGAGATACATGAGTTCTAATTATATACAATAATGACACGATTTTAACTACAGTGAATTTGTTTGGAGTTCATTACAGTGGAGTTTAATACACATATAGACCTATCTTTTCATCCACATTCCTTAATTTCTATTTCTGAGTTGTGCCTTCAGGTTAGATTTAGTCAATTTACTATCTTTCATTCACACCTTGTACTTTGATCTTACATTGTTTCCTCTCTTTGAAATGCCCTTCCTACCTTTGTTCACCTGCCTCCACTACTCTTCAGGTTTTGTCTCAGATGTCCCCTTCTTAGAAGCCTTCCCTCACCTTCTCTGTTAAAATATTTCTCTTTTCTCAATTTCCTTTCATCCCATTCTCTTTTTCTTGCCGTCTTGTCTTCTTCCAAAATGATTTAAGGTGATTTTAAAGATGAATTCCATTTAGCAAGAATCAAGTTAAATTAGAAATTAATATGAAAATAAAATGAAATAAGAAAATGCATCAGTAAACTAAAGGCATGAGTTTGCCTTATATCTCTTAAGGTACTTCCCTCTGCATTACAGTATTTTTTTATCCATGTCTTTAAGCAATTTTGGGAAACGTTCTCTGTCTTCATGATCTTTGTTGTCTAATGAGTGTGATACAAATATATACATTATATAGTGTAAATTCTGGATCTGTTCATTTTAGGAAATTTATTAATGTTAGAAATTTAAACATAGAGACATGTATTTTTTATTGGAGGAAGGGAAAATGATATATTAATGATAATTTTCTTCCTTGTAAAGCTGACCAATTTTTTTGTTATTTTATCCTAATTTCCATTGAAGTTCTATGACTTTAAAAGATTTTCTAATTAAAACTGTTTGATAGAAATTGATTATGTTTTTTTGTGGCATATTCTGTTAGAAAATGGTGCCTTCATAGTCAAATTGTATTTTACATTTTACAATCCAGAAAATGTAAGCTCTTGTATAATTGTCTACAATTCCTAGAAAACAAATAAACCTTTGTATTTAAATTCTGGAAATAATTTAGTATTCCATGTTATCAATAAGTTCTCTAGTTCTATGAAGTGAGAAGCTATAAAAAGTATCTCACCACATCTTAGACTTAGAAGGACTGAAAAGTTCTTTTCTCCTTGGTGATGAATAGGGTGGAATTCAGAAGATAGTGCAAATTTGAATTTATTGCCTGGGATCCTGCTTTAATAAACAGTTTTTGATAGGCTTAAGATTGAAGTTTTAACGAAACAGATTTTGACTTCAGCCAGCACTCTTTAAACCAAAACCCCTTCTGGTTTTTTAGCGTTTTCCTACTAAATACTGAGTTTTGTCTTTGGCTGAGAGCTACTATATATGTTTCACAACTGCCATTTTAGTTTATGTTTATTCCTCTCTTAAGGAGATTATTATAGCAGTCATTCAGCAGAAATTGTTTTTAAGACTTGCTCCTGAAATGCTCTACCATTTCTATGTAAATTAAACTTATTGTGTAAGTAAAATAATCTGAGATGTCAGTTTGTTTTTAGAATGCAGTGCCATAACTACACAAAAGAATACTCTTTATAGTCACACAGTAACGTTTTTATAGTCAAATACTCTTGCTAACATGTATATATACTTTTTTATTATCTGCATATAGTTTGATAAAAACATGCAGATTTTAATAAATTTGGACAATTTATCTGAATTTAAAAAGATACTGTCATTGAAGGAGGTGGGAGAGGTGTGTAAGGGTAATTTTCAAAATAGAAGTCTTTAGTGTATATATATATATATTGGAGTTGAATGCCAAGGAATAATGTTTCTGTTAGACTCAAGGCTGCAATGTTAAGTGGTAAATTGAATGCTAAAAGCTGAGCATGTAACTTGTATAATTTTCCCAACAATCTCTTTCATGTCAGTACTAAATTACTATTAGAGAATTTCTAATCCAGCAGAAATTCTAATGAAAGAGATTTGATTTTCTTTCCTAATAGGGATCTTTGCATTTCCTTTGATATTTATCCTGATTACCACTTTAAGAATTAATAAATTGTCATTATGCTTATAAGAGAATAGCAGTGATCAGGTAGTCTTATAAGCTTGTCTATTGAGTCATGGACAGGATCATGCTTACAAAAACAACTAAGGGCATAATTTTTTTTTCCTGAACATAATTTAACAATATATCTTGTAAAACAGTGGAAAATTACTGAAAAATTTAGATTTTTGAAAACAGAATTTATTAAAGACTATAGGCCAATGGTGTATCATAGGGATTTTCCAATGGGCATATTCAGGTATTTGAAATAAGAGCAACTTAAAGGAACAATAACATAAATTGTCATTATTTTAGTATTTAAATATTTGATTGTAATGTGATTATCTGTATAAGTAATACCTTCATATAATGTGAAATTCATGCATCTTAAAGGGCTAGCCATCGGGAGATCTGGGTCCTAATTCTGGCCGAGTCACCATCTATATAACATAACAAAAATAATGTTTCTTATCCTCTACTGTAAAATAGGAATAAAATTATCTACTGTTGTGAGAAATACATAAGATACATACATGTGATACCATCTTATATTCTTTAATATGCCATGAAAATGTTAAGAGCATGGAAGGAAAATAGAATTGTACTGTTTAATATTTTGAGTTTACCTTTATTATTAATATTATGAAGGTTTAATTTCTTGCTTTTCTCTCCCCTTTCTCTCTCTTTGTCTGCTTATTATTACTGATATCAAATTTGTCTCTGGTAGAGACAAAGACACCAACCCATGGTTGGATAGCAATCTCTTTTGACTTCCATCTCTTGAATTCATTTCTACAAGTGGGATACTATGTCTAGGATGGTATTAGTAACTAGACATCTTAAAATTGAAGAAATAGTCACTGAAAAAATAAGAAAACACAATTGAGAAAAACTATAATCCTCTTAGGCATTGACATATCAACAGATACCCAGACCAGTTGAACAGAATGCAGA